GGCCCATTTCAAAAGTGGGCCTGGGCTGGGGCCTTTAACATCTCTCTTTTCATTCCCAGCCTAAATTTTCACACCCTACCCCTCTCAGGTGGAAAGTCACTTGAGTCTATATAGGTTCTATGTATGTTCACAAGAATAACTTGAGAAATTAACATTTTGAATCCAATCACGATTTTTCTACCTAGCAAATCAAAAACCTACATGTATGCATTTATTATGAACGAGTTTCGTATTCACCACCGTGAGACCACCTTGGTCCTAAGTTCATTGTAGCCAGGTATTCCGTTTCATGGCGGTTTCTAAAGCAATTTATTTGGCCTGTGTACTAAAGCTACGGTTAGAGGATTCTAGAAGGAACTGAAGCATCAGATAATGACCTAAGGGTCTTGTAGAGACACTGGGTTTTGTCATTCGCTTTTGAGCACTGGCCTTTATAGACGATCGTAAAGATCTCTGTTTAAAGGCAACAAATGCCAAGTTTACTGTACACAGAGGGACAGGCAGTAATTTATCCAACAAAAACACTGTACTAAGTGCCTGTGGGCCATGCAACACTGCTAACGTGATTTCAACTACACCACGGTGTAGTAAATTTTATCATGTGGCATCTTTTCATTTTATCCAAACCTAAATAATATCAGCATTAAATTGTCCTATGTTTAAAACTAAGATTTTCATATACATTTCATCCATGTTGTTAAAACTCCTCAGTGAGGTGCTGACACGGATAATGGAAAAGCGAGGAAACGGTTACACAAAATGATGAGAGCAATTCTAACTGAATGATATGTGTTAAGAAAATGTGGACATGGCATTGTATCACAATAAACAAAAATAAACTGCTCAGTGGTGAAGTGCAATCAACAGAATGATCCAATTGACGTGGTTAGACTGCGACAGTCTAACTTCAAAATGAGTGCCTCTGGAACCTGTAAGAGACCTACCTCCACTGCCCTCAGAACATCTCTGAACACCGACCGCTGCTTCCGCTTGTCCACTTTGGCTCTGTGCTTATTTCCATCAGTGGCCAGAGCCCTCAGCATCTGAGTCAAAGAGTCCATGTCTTCATAAAAAAAGTCCTGAGCAAGAGAAAGAATGTTGTTTCGTGGTTGTGTTTTCTCCGAGCCTCTTTCAGTGGTAACAAGCAACAGTCCATCTTGGCAAGCCAGCCAGCAGCGCTGCAGAAAGCAACAGAAATCCCCCAGCCGCCAGAGATGCAGGCCCAGACACACGTAAACTCAGACAACTACAGACTACCGCAAAGCAACTGGCAACCCCTCCCTACTCAAGTACATACAAAGGCACTTAAAATGCTTATTGTGCTATTCTACATATCACTGCAATTTGGAACAAGTTCAGCAAAAGTCAGATATATATATATATATAGATATAGATATCTATATATCTCAAAACTGTTTGTCTTTTGGCTGCTCGGTCTTCAAATCCCACATCCCCAGAATACCGGTTACTCTTATTGTCAAATTGTAACACTTCTTAAAGCTCTAAATTTTTAATTTACTGGCTATATTTCAAATAAGCAAGAAATCGAGCATTTCTATCAGGGGCAAAACAAGGATTATTACGTCATTTAAAATAAAGTTACTTTTAAGGAGCCCAGGTTGCGCAATGCTTAGGTGCTCAGCTACTGAATGAAAGGGTTTGAACCACCCAGTTGCTCATGGGAGACATTCTGCTTCTGTGAAAGTAAAAGACCAGGAAACACTAATAAGCAGTTCTGCGGTGACATGGGGTGCCAGGGATGAGAACTGGTTCAAAGCACTTAGCAATACAATACCAATCCATTTTGGGAGGAGCTGTAGCTCCCCAAATGCTATTCCTGCTTGATATTCACTCTTAAAAATCATTTTATTGGGGGCTCTTACAGACATTTAACAATCCATAAATCAATTATATCAAGCAAACTTGTACATACGTTGTCATCATCATTTTCAAACCTGTCTTTCTACTTGAGCCCTTGGTATCAGCTCTTTTTTTTGTTTGATATTATCTTAAGCTTCCCTGCTACAGTTTAAGTGGCCATATACTTAAGAGCATTTTTTTATATTGGCATTTTTATTACCTGACTACAATTGACAATCACATTTAAAATGAAGGTGATTGAAAACCACTTAAAGGACCAAAGTTATTATAAGACGCCATCATACCAAGTTGGGAATAGTTCCATGTGTAGGAAGCACATTTTAGGGACTGGTCAAAAACCACCGAGCTCACTGCCAGAGTGGGTGCCGTCTCATAGCAACCCTACTGGGCAGGGCAGAACCAGCCGGTAACTCCCTAGGGGAGGAGAAAGGCCATCTTCCTCCTGAGGGGCTGGCAGCTCCCTACAAATGTCACTGGTTCCGTACTTCCGAAAGTGGCCACCTTCTGGGCCTCCCCACCCCGAAAGTATGAGTATATGTGTCTACATACACAAAGAAGCTTCCAATTAAAAGATGTCTCCAACCCTTCGAAGCTTATGTGAAAAATTAGGAACTCTACACATATTATTAATTTTCTGTAACTGGGAAATGACCCCACCCCAGTAGTTCTCAACTGTAGGAAAAAAACAGTTTACCCCTCAGGAGACATCGGGCCAAGTCTGGAGACATTATGTATCTTGTCACAACAACTTCAGCAGGGAAAGGTTTACTTCCTGGTATCTAGTGGGTTCAGGTCAGGGATGCTGCTTAATATTCTACATCACAACATTTTAGCAAGGATGAAATTCAAACTCGTTCACAACTGTGATTCACCACACTCCACAGAACACTAAAACTCTGGAAAAACAATGCTAAATATTTTAGGGAAAATTCTCCCAAAACTGCGCTTTAAAAAAGAAAAAAAGCGGGGAGGGCGGGGGAAAATGAGCTGACACCAAGGGCTCAAGTGGAAAGCGGGTGTTGTGAGAATGATGAAGTCAACATATGTGCTAATGTGCTGGACACAAATGACGTATGCACGGATTGTGATGAGTTGTATGAGCCCCTAATAAAATGATGATTTAATAAAAAAGAAAATTTACATCTCAACCAAAGTAATTCACAAGTGTTATCCAAAAGCCAATGGATTGGGAGCTTACAGCAACTATATAAGAAATCTATGCTCCAATATAAATGAAAACTGGGCTCAGAGACACAAAGGTCTATCTTAGTGTAGCGCACTTACCCTGACCTTACAGGGAAACGGCATAGCACGCACTTTCACTCACACAGAACAAAAGGTTTGCTTGCAGGAGAAAGGAGCAAGCTTCCACACTTAGGATCTTCAGTGTCTGAAGTTTCTCTTATGTAAAATAAGGATATAATTGCTAGCATTCACATTTTATAAATTCTAAGGGCTAATTTTTTATGTAAAATACAGTATATAAATCCATTAAGCTCTTATGATATAAACTTGCAGTCTAATCCAAAAAAACATGGCAAATAGCTCTGCTAAAGATGATGATTTCCTACTGAAATAACTGCTACCATAAACGGAATGGTTTTAAAATGTCAATGGAAACCAGATTCCAAAATGGAGCCACAAGACTCCCGGCATGTAAACAGTCTCCCTTACTGAGCAGAATGAGTGTGCTAGGCTGGATCCACCCACTGTCACGAGTCGATTCCAGCTCCCAGAGACCCTCTAGAGTAGCGGTTCTCAGCCGTCCTAATGCCACGTGACCTTTAATACAGCTTCTCGTGTTGGGGTGACCCCAACCCTAACATTATTTTCGTTGCTACTTCATCACTGTAATTTTGCTACTGTTATGAATCATCAAGTAAATATCTGGTATGCAGGATGTATTTTCATCGCTACAAATTGAACATAATGAAAGCATAGTGATTCATCACAAAAATATATAATTCTATATTGTGAAATATTTTTTTCTAATGACAAATAAATGAAATTTTGTCTTGAAGCACGGTGTAACATGGGTAACAGTCTTCATGCCAGGTACTCATATGTGGGCGTATCTGCATGTGGACGGACCGGCCTGGAGATGGAGAAAGAGGCAGTGTCTCGGTTCCTAAGACCATCGGAAACATGTGTTTTCCGATGGTCTTAGGCAACCCCTGTGATGAAAGGGTTGTTCAACCCCCAAAGGGGTCACAACCCACAGGTTGAGAACAGCTACGCTATAGGATTTCTGAGGTTGTAAATCTTCCTAGGAGCAGACAGTCTTGCAAGTCAGCAGTCCAGCTTACCCAGCAGTGCACCAAAAGGGTCTCTTAAGTGGGATGGTGTCTCCCCCAAAATTCATGTCCACCCAGAAGCTCAGAATATGATATTCTTTGGAAATTGGGTCCTCATGATATATTTGTTAATTAAGATGAGGCCAGCACAGATTCGGGTAACACTAGATCCAACACTGGTGTCTTCCTCAGAAGGTCACGTGCAGACACACCCAGAGGAGGACCACCAAGGGATCCACAGGCAGAAACTGACGTGATGCAACAGTAAGCCGAGGGACACTACGGACTGCAGTCATCCCAGCAGCAGGGAAGAGGCCAGGATCCCGGATCGCGGACTTCCAGCAGCAGAACTTGGAGACAGTACATTGGTCATTTTAAGCCACCAAGACAGAAATTGCTGCTCTTCAACTGAGAGTCATATATTTTAAAACTACGCCCTGCACTTGCAGTTCTAATATTTGAGATGTTTCTTAGGGCAATCATAAGACTCAAAAAAATAACCAACAAAACACCCCCGCCCCAACAACCACAGCTGTCAAGACAATTCCGACCCACAGCAACCCCTATGGAACAGAGTAGAACTGTTCCTTAGGATTTCCAAGACTCCCTTCAGACAGCATCTTGTCTCTGAAGCAGCATATTGCTCAAACACCACCCTTTCAGTTAAGCAGCCATAGAGCCGCTTAGAATAGAGGTCACAAACGAATCAAATGCCCCAGTTCACAGGACTCCTCCTGGAAGAGTTTTTCTGGGACACAAGCCTTTCAGCACCAGGTAGACAGGGAAGGGGGTTCACCAACTCAAATACCTTGAAGAGCCAAGCACCTGGCAACAAACCTCAGAGGAGGAGGGCAGGGAATGGCAAAGCTCATGCCCCATTTCACGGCCGTGCTGTTTCCACCTCTGCTTGCTCAGGAAAGCTAAATAGCAGCAATCAGACGCACCTACTCCCCATCATAGGCTCCTCCCTGAGCATTTCACCCACCTGTGTGATACGAGGGCTTCAAACAGTTCATGGGATATTGGAAGTAAAAAATGATGCTATTTTTCTATGAACTTTGTGAAGCCTCCATTTTATTATAAAGTATATATTAACGAGTGAATTGCCTTTCATCCCCCAAATATATGCTTGCCCTCATCTCTGAATTTATCAATGCAATCCCTCACTTTGGAAACAGGGAGGGCTTTTGTTTGTTATACTTTAACACTGGTTAAACACTGGGCTGTTCACAAAAGGTTGGTGGTTCGAACCCACCCAGAAGTTGGGAAGAGAAAACCTGGTCACCTGCTTCCATAAAGATTACAGCCGAGAACACCACATAAAGCAGTTGTACTCTGTCACGTGGAGTCACTCTGAGGACCTAGCAGCATCTGAAAAAGGGGCGGGCTGACACAGCCAGATGACCAGAGAGACTCGAAGGGGACAACAAAGAAGGCAGCTGCGGCCATAGCCAGACCCACCAAGGGTGCTGGCAGTCACGAGAGCGTGGGAGAGAGGCCTCCCCAGGAACTGACAGTCAGAGTCCTGAGTTGGACTTTAAAACTCCAGAATTGGGAGGAAACAAAGAAATGTACCCACTTTGTGGCAATTTGTTATGACAGTCCTAGGAAACGAAGCATCCATGCATAAATTACTTGTCTGGAAAGAACCCGTGGTGCAGCAGAGTTACCTGTTGGGCTGCTAACTACAAAGTCAGCAATTTGAACCCACCCGCTGCTCCAAGAGGGAAAGACGAGGCTTTCTACTCCTGTAAAGAGTTAACAGTCTCAGAAATCCCCAGAGCCAGTTCCATTCTGACCTACAGGATTGTGAGTTGGAATCAACGCCGAGTATATCCATAGGGATTACACTAGACACAATTCTTCCCTTGAGTATTAGAGAACAGTCCTGAATTTTCATTCTTTAGGTAACAAAAATTAAGAATAATTAACTACCCTCAAGTATTAATCACTATTAGCGATGCTTTCAAAAGTATTATATTGCCACTGCCAAGAAGTAGGGCAATCAATCACTAGACTCTCACACTGGCCACACGCCAAGGTTAGCATCCAATTCTTAATTGTGAAGTTAATGATAGAATAACTTTGCCAATCAGAAACTTACACTATCCATTCCTCTGGCCAATTCAAACAGGAGTGCCAACGATTCACCTGCAGCGATTCTCATGTTCACATCATCACAAGAGAGCAGGCTTGGAAGCTTGTGTAGATGCCTAGGAAACAGTTATTACTGAAGGTAACTAATTATGACACTCAGCGCTATTTTAACAAAAGATGAAATTAAGAACACATACATCTCCAGCTTTTTCTTCACTTCGCTGAGTGGGCAAATGGTCAGTAATAAGGTCCATGTGAGGAGTGCGCTGATGTGAAACACAGTGTTGGGGGAGCTGCAAATACCATTCGTGCCTTTCTCTTTGAGATAGGACTTGGTGAAGATGCTCTCCAGGAACTCCAGAGTGGAATACAGCTCCTAGTGCACAGAACGCCAAGTCAGAGAGCCAGCTCGAGTAAGTGATGCTCAAAGAACTGCACCCTCAAAGGTGTTGTTATACTTACAGTGATATCATCTGTGGCAATAAAACAGCAAACACCAAAGCAAGTTGCACACTGAAGGAAAGAAAACACAAATGATTTACAAACATTACTCCTTCCTCATTCCACGTTTTCCTGCTCCTCTAATTCAAAATCCCACCATCTCAATGACGTGGTTAGTAAATCCAAGCACAGGAGGCATGGGAGAGAGCGCGTGAGTGGATTCTGGGCTGAGAAGGGGGTGAGCGCAGGCTCTGCTCTCCTCCCAAACTCACAGCACAATTGGAGGGAAAGCACTGCACTGCTCATGGGCCTGCCTTCCTTCCCACGCACACAACATATGCCCAAAAGATCATACCCAGCTTCAACACTACCCTGATTTTGCTGTCATGGTCTTCAAAATTTTAAGTTTTAAATTTGTTCTTATGTAACATCAAAGACAAATCTGGTTTCCAGGACACACAGGAGCAGAAATCTCCTAACACCTAACGTTGTAATACTTTGTCATCAACCTTCCCACCCAAAAAGGATCTCGTTCCAGAAGAGTCAGATTCTACTTCTTTTGGGAACAGGTTGAAACAGCATGTGTCAAGCGTCTATGGTTGTCTGCTGTTAGGAAGAAGGCTAACTACTTCAAATCACTATTAGACTCCTAAGGCAATAACCTATCTAATAGTAGACTCAGAACACAATCCATACAACCATGTACTTCACACAAAACCCAGACAAATAGCAACAAACTGATTCCAACTCATAGAGTGGCCCTATATAGGGATTCTGAGGTGATAAATCTTCATGAGAGCGACAGTCTCATTCTCCTAGGGAGCAGCTGGTGGGTTTTGAACCACTGGCCTTGCAGTTAGCAGCCCAATGTTTACCAGACAGCACCCCCAGGGCTCCTTGTAACCAAAGCGTCAATATACAGAGCACTGCTTTAATTAGTCAACCATGTTGAAAGCAGAAATGTTATCAGGAATAACACATTTACACCAACCATATAGTTACCTCCTCTTCGTCAATCGGGGTATATGTAACTAGTCCCCACTTTGCTTTACTCCACATGCTGTCACTCAAACTCCCTTATGTTGTTAATAGTATCACTAAAGCTTTAGCTCTTTATAGGCACATTTAACACGCGCAGGTTCCAACTAGTTCTGCTCCAGGACTCAGGATGGTCTTGACAGTAATCTGTTTGATGTCACTGTACTACTCATACTGATACAAATCAAACATTATTAAAATTGTAAAGTAACTTCGGCATTCTTCAAGAAAAAAAACCCTCAACCAGTATTTATTTCTACTGGAAAAGAGCAAAGCTACATCTTGCCTTTTGATGGAGACACGAGGGGAATGTTTGATTAAAATGTAAAACAAATGGATTCCTTCTGCTAATGAGAAGGCTGGTTTAAAAAAACAAAAATGGGGGTGGGGGCAGGGAGATGAGGAGCTGACAGCAAGGGCTCAATAGAAGACAAATGTCTAGAAAATGATGATGGCAACATATGTACAAATGTGCTTGATACAATTGATGTATGGATTGTTACAAGAGCTGTAAGAGCCCTAAATAAAATGTTTTAAAAAATTACATTCACATGTAAACAAAATTAAATTGATCCCAATGTCTAACCTACAGAATGCTTTCTGAGATTACAAAAGACACCCAAGTCTGCACAATGAAAGTTATTTAAATTCCAAAATCAAAGCAAAACAACAACCCAAAAAACCCACTGAAGTAGAGTCAATTCCAACCCCTGGTGAGGCCACAGGACAGGGCAGAACTGCTCTGTAGGGTCTCTGAAGCGATAAAGCTACAGGACCAGCCAGCCTCAGCTTTCTCAGGAAGAGCGGCTGATGCGATTGAGTCACCAGTGTTGTAGTTGACAATCCAATGCTTACTCAACAGTGCTACCAGAGCCTGCTCCTCAATCAGATGAAAAGTGAAGCAATTTGAACAATCCGTATCTTAAAGTTTTCAAAATTGAACTAGTTAAACTTGTTAGAAAAACAGCTTAACACACTCACATATTACCTTATACAAAATAAACTTGGAATACCAGATATTTCTGTGAGCCAGGACAGTATGTTCATGTGATCATTTAGTCACTGTTTATTAACTCAGCCAAACAAGAAACAAAAACATATCAACAAATTTTAAACCACAATCTGAAGTCCAATGTTAAGAATAATAAAAAAAAAAGGTGATAAATATTGGAATCAAAACATTTTTAAACCCATGACTAGATGAAAGTTTCACTAGCCAATGCCAGTTTCTTCCACAATCATCCACAGCCACGATGTAAACTAAACACAGCACTAGTGGGTGAAGGGAGACATTGGACAGTATAAGATATGACAAACTAAGAATTTATAAATTAGCAAGGGCTCATGAGCGCAGCGGGGTGGGAGGGGAAAAATGAGGAGCTGATGCCGGGGGCTTAAGTGGAGAGCAAATGTTTTGAGAATGATGAGGGCAATGAATGTACAAATGTGCTTGACACGAGTGATGTATGTATGGATTGTGATAAGAGTTGTATGAGCCCCTAATAAAATTATTTTTTTAAAAAACAAAAAGCACAGCACTAAACTTTCTGATGTGACTACTAGGTCATGGCAGCGAAGACACAAAAGGGAACAAGAGTCACAATTTTTTCTTAAATCCCCATTTTAATCATTTTTTGATTTTCACACTACATTTCTTACTGTATTACACAGACAAACCCACCAACAAAACTTCTAGATGGTTCCTCAAGTTCCAGCCCTAAACTATTTTACAATAGGTCCTAAGCAACTCAATGTAACTCACAAGCAACATCAGCACTGCTACCTTCAACTTAAAGGACAGAGACATCTTGAGCCTGGTGGCACTGCCGGGAAACACTGGACTGCAAACCCACCCGTGGTTCCGTGCGGCAGAATCACCTCGAAGGCAGGAGGGTCTTTGGGTTTGGAGTCGCATCAAATACAAGAAAGCGCCTGTCATCTTAGGTTTGCTCACTATCAGCAGAAGATAAATGAAAGTAAGATACCCATACTAGCCTACTGCTTTTAAACGGCCGTTTTCCCAGGTTGTTCGTCACATGACTGTGTACTGAGCTCACAAAACCTAGACGTTTAAAAATCGGATACTTACAGTTTGCCTGGCCTGGATGCTGGCTGTCCCGTCACTAATTATTTTCTTGAGGATTGGTCCAAGGGTCTTGAAAATCTCTTCACTCTCAATTCCGGGACCCAGCTGAACACAAAGAACGCAAGCTAATGCTGCAGCCGCCCGCTGCTCATCGCTCTTACCTACAGAGAGAGGTCAGGGCACAACTATAACAAATTACTTGCAGCAGACGAACCGAACTACAAGGGGGCTTCACAAAGTTCCTGGGAAAATACAAGTAAAAGATAAAGGAAATTTTCCACATATTTTTTGAAGCCCCTTATACAAATCACTGGTAAACCCATCAAAATATTATTTTGCCTCTGCTCAAACTGCCTTTGCTCTCAACAAACCTCTTCCATTAAAAAAAAGGATTGTAGGTGAAGGGCTAGAAGTAACAAGACAGAACATCTGAAGGGTCTGTGAGGGGGCAGGACGAGGTAGGAAGAGGGAAACAAAGGAACTGATATCAAGGGACTCAAGAAGGTTTTGAAATAGTTGATGGCAATGTTTATATATAGCTTCTTAGTATAATGGATATGTGGACTATTATAATACATGTAAGAACCCAATCAAATGATTTTTTTTAAAAAGCTGAAATTTTGACCATTCATATCCTTTATCCAGGGCATTTTAGCCAAATTACCTTCAATTATTACTTTTGTTCTCTTGAGCAGTTTATCTATAAAACAGATTAATAGCCACATTATAGTACCATTGCAGTTCCAGAAAATAATGTGTTTATGCCAACATCTACCTTCCAGCTCCTTGATGTAATCATCTCAATAGCGTCCAAGCAGCTCATGACCTTTATCTATCTCCCAAGCAGCTCAGATGCAGACAGCCTATTCCTTAAAACATCTATATACACGTAAATGTTGATGTCAAAGCGTTTAGGCAAATATCAAACTTAAATCTTATTCCACAGAGAATTCTAAATTATGCAGATTGGGAATTTTAAAGGCCGTCTAGTGTAAATACCCAATTTTAGGAGACATTTTCATGTAAAACACTTTTAACAAAGCCACTGTAATAGCCTTTAAAAAGGCAAGTCTGCTATCAATTATACACCTAACAAGCCTCACTTTCCTTTAGGCCTTTCTTTATTCCACACAATAAGGTTTAGATAAAGAATTTAGGTCACGACAAATTTTTTACCTGAGACAAACTAGAACAATAACGATCAAGAAGCCAAGCTCATTCAACAAAAAAGAGCATGTGTGCGCTCTACAATTTTGGTGCTAGGAATAGCTAATTGGGAGCCCTGCTGGTGTAGTGGTTATGAGTTGGGCTGAGATTCACCTGGGCAGCAGTTCAAAGCCACCAGCCACTGAGGGAGAAAAACTGGGAGTCCTACTCTTGTAAACAGTTACCTTCTCGGAAACCCAGTGGATTGATATGAGTCAGCACGACTCAATAGCAGTGTGTTTGTTTTGTGGGGTGGGGGAAAATAATAGATAATGTAAAAAAGAAAACAGTCTAACAGAAAGTAATTATTCCCATAATATACTCAACTTGGCAAAATAAAGTAAAATGGCAGGCTCAAATCTTTTGAGTGTTCCTAAAACTGAAAAGTCTGGTCACATTAACTCCTTCAGCTCTCTCCTTAAAAGTGCAGTGATTACAGCAATAGAAATGCTGGAATTTCTCCACAACGTTCTGAAACTTGACGCCAGGTCATTCACATTTTATAATCACCATTTTAAGTACATATGAAAGAATATGGGATGAGTATTACATAAAACTGTATAAATTTTAGAAAACTAACATAGGATTTTTAAAATTTAATTAGTACTTCTAATTGACGTTTAGACACATGCTTTCAGCCTTTCTGTGGTCACAAGAGGATGGCAATCACCTCTTCTGATACAACCAAGGTGACAACTGAAAAGTACCAAGCTGTTTTCTTATTCCATAAACAAAAAGCAAAATTTCTATGAAGCCTGGTTACATAATCAATACGGTATACTCCTCAACAATTATAAAGTGCTAAGTGTGTGGGCCAATGCGCTAGTACCATTAACAAAGGCTATTGCTGGGGAAGTACCACATGCCTTCTCCGTTCAGTGCCTGCAACGCAGAAGAGCAACGTTACCTTTCTTCAGGCAGCGTTCAATGCTGTCAGTGAGAGTCATTCTCCGTTCCAGAATAAATTCATAGAGCATTTTTGAAGAGACTGCATTTTTAACACCTTCCAGTGCTGCCTGCCTGGTCTTTGCACTGTTAAAAACAAAACATAAGAGAAAGATCCAGCTGGACTTAAAAATACTAGCTCATTTCCTTCTAACTTTTTTCTATCTACAAATTTCTCACCTAATTGTTATCAAGCGCTTGTAAGTTTTTCTATTATCTGGTCATCGAGTGCTTATAAATTTTTCTATTTGGTTTTCATCTACAACTCACCTTACACAAAAAATTTGAAGCTGCCTTCTATCATAGCATTTGTTAATTAAATAAACTCAACTTTAAATGCGGTCATATTCTACAGTTTCAATGTGTTAAAGAAATGTTTCTCTACATTACATATATACCGTATATACTCGAGTATAAGCCGACCCGAGTATCAGCCGAGGCACCTAATTTTACCACAAAATCTGCATTAAAATTGTGCTGGAAAACTCAGCTTATGCACGAGTATATACGGTATGTAAAACTTTCTAACTTGAAAAAGGTCTATACAAGGTATGCCTGTATATGCTGGTTTCTACATTTCCTTTGTTTGAAGACAATTCTAAAGCATCCATGAAGTCAGAGAACTATTTTGCCTTGAAAGTTTGTTTGGTTTTTTTTTTTTTTTAACCTATAACAAAATTAGTGGGCAAGAGGTACAAAGCAAAGTTTAGTTTTCCTTTCTGATTGAAGATTAACTTTGGTTTTAGCAAATCCGCTCCATTACCCAATACCATTATGTACATGTTACGAAGCTAGAGTAAAGGCTCATTTGTGTGCATCTAAATTCTGGTGGCATTCTCCTGCATCACATTAAAAAAAAAAAAAAGGAAACAATGAAACATCAAAATAACTAATCATGCTTTCAGGGAAAACATACTGCAACAACAGAGAACTGCACATGTTAAATATATGACTGCCTAGAATCACCAAGAATAAGGAGTTTCCAGTACTTCCTACCTCTTGTCCATCATCAGGTCAATGTATCCCTTCAACTTGTACTCTAAGTCTTCTTGAGTTCCTTCCTCATCAAGGACTTCTGGACCTAAGGAATAATACAAACCAAGCACTCTAATTTAAATAGGGGAAAAAAACAACAGATGGGAACACTTATAATAGACACAAGAACTCTTAACTAAAATACTCTTTCATCCAAGCTGCAAATAATTCAGAAAACATACCATCTTCAGCAAAACTGGAAGGATCGCTGTAACCACTGCAATGACTCATCGTTTCAATCGATGCATCCTCGTCACTAAAAGGTTGCACATTTCGATGCTGGCCACCTAGAATGGAAAAGAAAAAGGCACATGGTTTTATTGCCATCACTACAGATATTCACCGGGGGAACGTTTTCAATTTACCTTAGGGAAATGTGGTCATAAAAAATCTTGAGGAAGTCAATTCCTTTCTTAAAATGAGATGACTACGCTACAAAAGCTCTCACTTAGGTACCCCTAAAATTAGAGTCATTTCATCATCCATGTAGTTTGGAACATTAGCTACTTATAATACCGATCAACTCCAAAAACCAATGAGTTGCTTAACAGGAGCATCAGTATTTGATGACAGAAAAGCATGATAGGAAAAATGAAACGTCACTTCCAAACTTGGACTTCAAGTTATGAAGACAGGACACCAGACACAGAACAATGATGTCACCTATCATGAGAATAAAATAGAAGATGTATTTGTCCAACACACAGACTGGGCTTAGTAAACATAGCCTAAGTGCACTGGGCTTGGGAATGTCTATGTAATGGGGAATGCAGGAAAGAGAAAGCTGAGGGAAGGAGGGAGAGTGGCTTTAAAGATAACTTTAAATTGTGAGAAGTAAAAATATCTTACAATGGAAGTTTCAGTATTTAATACCTAAGTACCTTATATAACCCTAAAAGAAAAGTTTCAACATAGGCAACAGTTTTAAAATAACAATGTTGTTATTAAAACTCTCCCCTTTCCGAACTGGAATCTTGCAACTTTGTTAACATAAGGAACGCACAATCACTTTGACCTACAGGGATTTCCTATGAAAAGGGGTATGCCATCCTGAATTACACTAAGCACTAAGTTGAGGGAGGGGAGCTTCAACAAGTTCAGGGGAAAATTCCGATCTTTTCATTCCATTTGCACATTAACTTTTCGAAGCTCCTTCTTATAATTCCAAATTCTGCTCCTCAAATGACCTTCAGCGAGTCAACTGATATACTTTTGAAGCAAGTTTCCGATTACTACAAGATTGTACCCAAAATTATATATCCGTTAAAAAATTCATGAGATATTTGCCATCTTAACATATGCTAAAGATAGTCCTCTAAAGGTAATGAATTTTACCAGTTGAGTAAGTAAAGCCTAGATCCTAAAACTGCACTGAATGCTTTAAAAGGACATTCTTAGGACAGGGGAAAAAACACTCCCAAGTCTTTCTAAAACAGAAATGCTATGTCATGCTTTCTTTCTTGACAGTTTCTGGGCAATGCTTGCTAGTCATCTGATTAACATTTACTAATATTTATTCCCAAGTCAATGTACTGTTTTTCTTTTTCATACTCCAAAGCTGTCAATAAGACTACTCCAACGTCAGCTCTCACTCAGCTCACTTACCTAGTTCAATGATTTCTATCAGACTCAAGGCCAAGAGAGGTGTGGTAGTTACATAATCTCCTGTCAACTTGAGGGTATTGAGTCAGGGGGTGGAGGTTAGCCTAACAATCAGGTTGCAGCTTGATGGCCTCATTTGAAGGCAAGTTGAAGATAAATAGCCTACTGGGGGCCAGACCCACTTTCTGCCTCCCCTTGCCTGCTGTTGACACACTCAGAAAGCTGGAGGAGCCACCAGGAGACCCATGCTGGCACTGACATGCTTCCGCTGCCACTGGATCCACAAGACTTTCTACCCATCAGCCTGTGATCTTCCTGCATTCAGCATCACTGCATGTGTTGTGTGAGTCTAAAGAGGAATTTATGGACTAATATCGGACTTATAGGCTAATATCGAACTTAAGAGACTTGATCTGGACTGGGCTGGGATGTTTTATTGATGCTTAATTACTTCTTGATATGAAGTTCTCTCTTACAAATATATGAGTGTCAATGAATTTGTTTCTACAGTCAACCCAGTCTAACACAAGAGGTTTAGAAATGCTTTGAAATCAAAACCTTGGATGAATGCCTAGTATCTCACAACTACTCAACAAGGTGGCACTCTAGACACACAACAATCCCAAACCAAACTCACTGCCAAGGAGTCAAGACTGACTCACAGGGATCCGAGAGAACAGGGTAGAACTGCTCCTGTGACTTTCCAGGACTTGAACAGTTTATGGAACAAACTGTTCTAAAAGCCCCATCTTTCTCCAGAGGAGCTGGCTAGTGGTTTCCAACTGTTGACCTTGTGGGTCGCAGCCCAATGCGTGACCACTATGCCACCTTAGCCACATAAAGTGATACAGAACAGTTACATTGTAACTGCTAACCAAAAGGTGAGGGGTTCAAAGCCACCAACAGCACCTTGGTGTACTTCTCAGAAAAACCAGCCAGAAGAAGCCCTACTGAGCACAGTTCAATTCTAACACCTGTGGCATTGACAAGATTTGGAATCCACTCAACAGCGACCAGTGGAGTGGCACTTATTAGTGTGCTTTTGGTCTTTCCTCAATGTGTTTCATTGTTTGTTTCAGCAACTCAGTAACTTTCTAAGTATAAAGAACAAAATTAAGTTAAGGACCTAGATGATGCAGTAAGGAGCCCTTAGGTGGCACAGCGGTTATGCATTAGGCTAACTACAAGGTCAGCAGTTAAAATCACCAGTCATATGACCCTCAACTTTTGACTCCCATAGTGAGTGCCTCAGAAACCCCAGGAGCATTCTACCCTGTCCTAGAGCATCGCTGTGAGTAGTCATGAACTCAGTGGCAGCTGAGAAAATGAGATGGCACAGTGGATTTACATGTTGGGCTACTACCCATAAAGTGAGCAGTTCAAACCCACCAGCCACTGGAAGTAGAAAGATTTAGTCTTGGAAACTCACAGGGCAGCTCTCCCGTCCTATGAAGTTGCTAAGGAATCAGAATCCACTTCGTGGCCGGGTTTGGTTTGAGGTTGAACTCAAAAGTTTCCCTCAGATGAGAAATGGCTAAAGCACACCGAACTGCCGGCTCTCACAATAAACTGCTTTGCTTCTTGATCCAGAAAAATGAACTGCATCAAGAAACTTGGACTCACAAGCAGCTTAAGAGTGTGCAACTGAAATCAAGAGTGATATAAAAAGGTAAACTCTCCTTCTTTCCTAACTCCAAGCAATAATAATCTATTCTTATAGTCAACTATTACATGCTCACTTCTTGATCGCAGGTTTTAGGGTGGCTATAAATCTCAAAGGGCCAGTCTCCAATTACCTTTAACAAGAGAACTGGCCTACAGAAGTCCTAAAGAACGAAGGTTTCGGAGCCGCAAGGTGTGGCAATGCCTGAGGATACTCCTTTATTTAAATCCATGACCTCAGCCAAACAATTACCGTACTTAGTTGGGATGATTTTTACCTAGTATACTTTTAATACACAATTCGAGTTTAGTGGAGGGTCCTGCAGAAAGACTTCCCGCTGAAATCGTTCCTTTTCTTTTTTCTAAGTCAAGAACCATATTCACTTGGGCGCCCAGAGTAGGAAACGCTTAAGTTTTTGCTGTGACTAGACAAAAAAAGAAATGGGGGGCGGGGAGGCAGAAACTTTCAGCCAATCGCCGCAGGCCGAGCTCTGCACTAGCCCTGCTGCACAGGACCTAACGATGTAGCGCAAGACCGTCCGCAGTGGGGCTGGGAGGCTGCGCTCCCGGTAAGAAGGGTAAGAAATGGGGCAGAGACCAGGTTAGGACACAAGTGTACGTCTTCGACGGCTGCGTGCAGCCAGGTGGATTGCGCAGGAAGGCGCGGGATAGGGATGATAGGGATGCGGACTGGAAGCCTCTGCGTCACACCGGCCCCACAGTGCAAGGCCCAGGCCGCGTGACGCCAGAGCCCTTCCAAACCGGCCGGACGTTCCCCAACGCGGGCCGGGTGGCATTCCCCGAACTCCATGTTGGAGCTGGCAAGTCCAGGGCAGCCTGACAGCACAGACGCCAACTCCAAGCCCTGCTCCATCCTTCCCGGAGGAGAACTCCTGAGGGATTGCACAGGCTTCCGAGGCCAGCTCCGTTTCCTCCCTCCCAGCTGCGCGCCACGCCAGGACCGGACTCGAGTCTCAGGCCCCGGGAGGCACTCGCTTCCGCCCCGCCCCCACGGCCGATGCCCGAGTGTCAGGTTCGCACCCCAGGTCCAAATCGCGCGAGGCGCGGCCCCGACGCACCCTGGGAATTGTAGTACGCCGACACAGCCAGGCACCCTTGAGACCCGGACGTCCTAGGCAGAGAGAGAACTACAATTCCCACTGCGCCCCACCAAGGGAGACGTGTGCCCAACCCGGCCGGCATCCGGTATGCCGGCGGCAAGGATAGCTCCTTACCTGCTGCTGCTGCCGCCGTAGCTGCAACTGCCTCTGAGCCGCCGCCGCCACCACTGCCACCGCGGTGGGGAGTGTTCCTCTTCTTATTCTTCGGCATCGTGGGACGCCCGGTGCCGCCTGAACTCGGAGCTTAGCGAGGATCAGCCGATGGAGCTGCACTTTTTACTCGTGCGTCTGTGCGGCGGGCGGCTAAGAGGCGAGTCTGCGGCTAACAACAGAGGCGAGAAGCGGCGGGGGTGAGAGTGGGCAGTGGCGGCAGCAGAAATCCCCGTTAAGAGCTGTGATCGGAAACGATACATGTTTCTCTCTAGCGCGGGAGCTAAGGCGGGGCAGGCGAGGCCACGACGCCTTAAGTACCGAGACAGCCGGCTGTCGTCACCATGTGTAGGCGGGACGCGAACGTTCACTAACCAATCCCCATAGATGGCCCCACCAGCCTCCCACCTCGTGCAGCCCAGGGAGCCGACTACCTGTCCCATGCTGCAAGTCTTCGATCAAGGCCCTGGAGCAAGGCTTCGCGGCTGCACTGCGTGCTGGGAGATGTAGTACAGGCTGGGGCGCCCGCCTCCAGCACCTTCCAACCGGCTGCTGTTCTCCCCGGCTCCCATTCTCGTGACTCCGCCTGGGCCTCGGGGTGGCCCCTGCCTCGGGAGTGTCTGAGATTGTCACGGGTGATGAGCCATCGGGCGGGTATGCCCGATGACGTGGGCCAAGCTTCCAACTGGGACGGACGCGGGCGGCTTCGCTCATTTTTCTCCAGCTGCTCCCTTCTCATTAACCTTTTCCCTACTTTGCTGCAGCCTCAGCCCAAGCGCAGCAACGCCGCCCTTCCTTGGAAACGTGCCATGGGTTTTCCTGGTTGAATTCCTTTAGCGATTGTGAGTTACTATAATTGGACTAGTTCGAAGCTGTGTGATCCCAGCTCCCAACCGTGTGCTTTAATCCATTTAGTTGTGTAGTTTCATGCACTTCTCATATTCTAGACCGGAAATGCCCTAGAATTCTGTTCAAGGACTGTGCCCTTTGCCAGCTCCACCTGCCAGGTAGGAGGTCAGTTTGGGCTAAGGTTGGTTTTCGAGAAATAAACAGGTGAAAAAACAAATGAGCTATAAATACCCGTAATCAATGTTTTTTTAGTTTGTTCCCCCGACTCCAACCACCCTACCCACCAGGTTCTCTGTCTTCCTTGTTATAGTTGTTATATATTTAGAGCCTGTTATTAAATCAAGTTCACGTACTATTCTTATGACAAGCCAAACTCGCTGACTCACCCCAATACCTCATCACTCACTCCACCTCTCCACTGCACTCCACCTTCATTCTCTTGCTTTTTGTGGGCAGGTAGCACAATTCCCAACCCAGGATTTCCCACCAGCACCTCCACTCAACACCTCAAAGATGCTTTCCCTCAAGCCAGTGTGCCTCTTCCTGACCTCCCATATGTGTTCAAAGCGTTACTAGCCTTCCAACAAGTAGATATCCAAAGTCTGATTCCTCTCTTTAGTGCCAAACACCCAAGCCTGCCCTCAGTTTATATGTCCTGACATTTTAAGAGCTCGCCCAGACTTTCCACCTGTGTTTCACACTGTTAGTCTAGGTTGTCTAGAAAAACAAATTTATAGACACTCGTGTGTAAAAGAAAACTTTATACCAAAGAGCAGTTGTACATTAAGAAAACATCCCAGTCCAGGTTAAGTCCATAAATCCGATATTAGTCCATATGTCCATTAACAGTCTATAAATTCTTCAGACTCATGCAGCACATGCAATGATGCCAAATGCAGGAAGAAAATCGCAGGCCAGTGGGTGGAAAGCCTTAAGGATCCGGTGGCAGGTGAAGCATCTCAGCTCCACATGGTTCCTCCAGCCCCAGGGCTCTGGCTCTCTCATGGTAGCTCCATATGGCTTGTCAGCAGGAAGACGAAGCAGGCTGTGTGTATCTGGCCTCCAGTGAGCTATTTATCTCCATGGCACCTCCAAATGAGGTCATCAAGCTGCGACCTGATTGACAGGCTAGCTTCCACCCCATCGCAAGTTGACACCAGCTTATCTAACGACCACACACACATAATAATTGTTTGATTTATCCTTGTATCCCAGGTTTTATTAGTCCACATGCTCAGTCCTCATGTTTTTGAGAACATTCTGTAATTCCCATTCTATGGGTGCCTATTACATGTCAAGACCATAAGCCTGGCCTTGACTCCCTTCCAAGCCCCACATTCACTGCTTTCTCCCACATCCTGCTCTTTGGCCAAAGTGGACCACTGTCCTGTTCCATTACACAACTCTGCTCTCCTCACCCTGTTTCATCACTCGCATCGATCTGTGCTCTTATATGCCCTTTCTCTTCTTTATCTGAAGAAATTGTCTACATTTTTCAAGAATTGTCTCTTCCCCGCATGCTCTTTTGCCCCCACAGGCCACAGAGCCTGTTCAGGAATGTTGACACAGCTCCCACTGGTTCCCTTGAGCCCAGCAGAGGGACGTCTGAAGGTCAGTGGTCTTGGAAGCCCACATGGAATAAGCTGTCCCATGGCTGGAAAAGCACAGAATTGTAGACTTATAATCCTAAGCTCTTCGGCATCCAAAAAGAACTTCTATTGCATATAGAGCAATGATTTGGCTACTTTGTAGGTCATATCACCCAGACTAACTGTCCATTTGCTAGGCCTTGAAACTTAGGCTTTGCTGACCTTTAGGGCTTCCTCCTTTTATCTGCACCCATTTGTGTCCACTTAAAGGTATAACCCACTACATCAGATGCATACTTGTTTTTAACTTTTTATGAACACATTTTCGTCATTCCTTGACATTCCCAGCTGCTGAATAAGAATCTTGTTTTTATCATCTGTGCATCTCTTACAGAACTTAGGTATCTTTGTAATTGCCGAAAGCCATAATGAATGGATGGGGAAGAGCTAATTTTTGACTAGGTTTTCTGGATCAAGAAGAGAGATCGTCCCATATAATGGATAATTGGCGTCATCTCATTTTCACGGCCATCGAGCCCATTCTGACTCCTAGTGACCCTATTGGACGGAGTATAGCTGCTCCTATGGGTTTCGGAGTCTGTGACTCTTTACAGCAGTAGAAAGCACGTGGAGTGGCTGATGGTTTTGAACTGGAAACCTTGTGGTTAGCCACCTAACCTATTATTGCCACCAGGGTTCCTTAGAGAAAAATAAATATTAAAAACAAATGTAAAAATATGAATAAAAATTAGCAATAAATATATATATGCTTATCATTTTGCTCTAGCTAGCACAGGTGTCAGAAATATTTATGGATATTGATGGATATAGCCCTCGTAGTTAGTGGCCCTCAACTTCACACACTTATTTTGTAGCATATCCATAGAAATTATATCACTGTTGTCTGTTGTTGGGGCTGTCAAGTCTGTTTCAACTCATAGTGACAACAGAACGAACCACCACCCAGTCCTGCACTCCTTACAATTAGAAGATCCCAAACAATATTTTTAACTCCAAACAACATTAAATGAATGAGTTAAAGTTTATTGTGCCAATAAACACATGTGGGGTTAATTGAAGGGCAGAGAGCTAAATGGCTCAGTGAGCCTCGTCTTTCTAGTTCTCGGGTCTCTTGCTTTGTGATGGTCGGACCAGGGTGCAGCTGCCTTAGCCAATTCCCTGCTTTAGCTGGACTTTGTGGATTGGTGTCAGACAAATGGGCTAATGTTGGACTTGTGTGCTTGGGCAGCACTGGGTTGGGATGTTTTTCTTGATGTGCACTTACCCTTTATATAAAACTCTCTCAAACATATGAGTTTCTGTGGACTTGTTTCTCTAAAGTACCCAGACTTACACAATGAATTACCCAAAAAAAAACTTAAAGCCCAGGGGCAAAGTGGAGCAGGACAAAAAGACATTCTCCTAACCAGCCTTTGCCTTTTTATTCAGGAACGAGCACCCTGAGACATGGGCCAGAATTGCATTATTTGATGATCTCTCGCTGCAGGATAGTCTAGAAGAAAATTTCTTTTAGTTGAACTCACTGAAAAATTTGAGATTCTACTGATAATTATTGGGAGCCCATAGGAGCCCTGGTGGTTATGCGTTGGACTGTGATCTCCAAGGGCAGTAGTTCAGAACCACCTCTGTGGGAGAAAGATGGGGCCTAAAAAGTTACCGTCTCTGAAATCACAGGGGAAGTTCTACCCTTTCCTATCAGCTCTCTGAGTCAGCGTGGACTGGATGGCAGAGTTGAGTTGTTGATGCATATAAGGTAGGAAACTAGCACAGTCTGCCTCAAATGAGACAAAGTTCTCTTTCTAATAAACAAATACCACATATTTGTGACCAGCTTCACCTTATGCGCTGCCTCTTTAAACCCTTACTCATTGTAGATGTCTCCTCCTCCTATAAAACACAAACTACTGAGCTTAACATTCCACCTAATAGATATCACCATCAAAGTCAAGCTATTCAAATGTTGGGGAGTGGGGAGGAAAAGGTTCTCATTAATCAGAATGTAGGTGCACATCGGAGGGGAGTCAGGAGTTGTTCTGTCTCCTAATCTCACTCTACTTTGATCACTCTGTCTCCCAGAACACTCGATACTTTCAAGGTGAGCTCAATGATTCATTACAGTAGTCTGAAAGAACTCACAGCTAATGCTCTCAGTTAAGGAGTTCACCAGGGACGTTAACTGGTTACAATTCAGGTGAGAAATAACGTAGGATACTGTTGTTTTGTCAGGATTGTTTCTTCTCCCCCAATGACCCAAGCTGGCCTCTCTGGCCTGGTCTCTGCCCTGCTGGGGCAATGTTACAAAGCTCTTTCAGGGCTGCCAGTGAATATACCCAAAGGGCACAACACTCTCCTGAAAGCCTCAACCTGGAGGTACTTAGCTCTAGTTCTGTGGGTCAGCAAAACCCAACTCCCCCAAGTAAGTGCCCAGAGGTACCCCACTCTACACACCATTCTCCTGCACCCAAACACGCAGGTCTACTTGCTCTGTAGACTGGGAAGTCCAGCACTCTCTCATGCTCTGGCCTAGTTTCTACTGCTGTTCTGCCACGACTCTGGTGTCACCGGTGTCACCGCTGTCTCCTGTGCAGGAATCTCAGATTGCACAGGTTGTGCTGTGCTCCACTCCTGACTCCCCTCGCTGGTAGTGATATCCCACCTCCTGCTTTGGAGACAGCTGATTTTATACCCAGCAGGATGGTAATCACAACTCGATTAACAGTCATTCACAGCTAAATTACATTACAATCAGAATCTCCCCACTTCACACCCACCATCTTTTTACTCAGACCCTTTGGGATGAATGAAGGTCGAGGTCCTGGTGGGAGTG